AACATTGAACACATTTTTTTTCTGGAAACCGTACAGCATCTTCAGCGATGGTGAATCCACTGCTAGTTGAAAACCTCCCAAAGCAGTTGTCATATCTCGCAATCCTACAATGTATCCACATAGCACCTGCACATGAGCTGATTTCATCACTCCATCTCTTTGGTGGACGTGCTGTATGACTGCTACTCCATCTTTATTATTGCGCCTCTGAAACCATTCATACAAAGTAAGATTTGGTAATGCATGGCTTATAAACTAGCTATGGTTCATTTACATTGCTGGTATACCCATTGCTCCAGCGTATGATTGGCTGAAACATTAAACTTGGCTTCATTGTAAATGATTACCTTTTGGTCCGATTCCTTGAAATCCCTGATCACATTTGGCTAATCTTGATCAATCTAGAATAGAAATTCACAGACCATGTACTCCGCACACATTGCTCATGAGATATTAGTTGTGCGTTCGTTATTTTCGAATTAACTTATTTCATAATTATTGTGTGCATGCATGCAATACGTGTAAGCAATTTAACTAAGACGCATGCTTGCATTTGTTAGTTTACTGATATTGCAGCAATTTGAAATCTCTATCCATGAACATATTGCTATTAAGATTAAGCAGATCAGCATCTGGCCGCACATTCATACCATTTAAATTATAAAACTGGTTATACGGGCAGTCATCGAGTTACGAACCCGATTAGTTACTGAGATCCGTTCGTAAGTCGGAACAATAATGCACTGTATTTAAATGCCCATGCGTTAAGTGTTATGAAATGTGTAATGGTTCAACCAAAAGGGTAACATTGTTAAACTCATAATAAGAAATATTGTACATTTGCATCTCACACTGTAATAAATATATTGTACAGTAGATACAACCTAAAATAAAGTAACATCAAAAGAAAAACACTTTGATTTTAATTTACCTTGAGTCCTGATGCTAGCTTGTTTGTCGGAAGGATGGCAATGAGTCACTACAATTGTGCGCACACACGGGGCACGCGCGCATGTACAGATAAAAACAAAGACACAGACACACACCCCAACGAAAACCATCCCCCGTGTAACCTTAGCAGACTGTTGGGGCAAGTGCTGTTAGTGAGCAGCGTCTATGAAGCCCGGCACGGCACACGAGGTGGTGGGTGGCCAACGCTACGCCCGGTCGCCTTTGTGACCCCAATGGCGCTGTTCACACACCGCACCAGGTACTCATTTGAGGCTGAGTCGACGTAGGGGAGGCCGCCCAGGTCCCACTCAGAAAATTGTCACTGGTGTTGATCGTGAATTGAACTTTGGTCGCCAGTTTCGTTAGACAGCGTGCTGTTGTACTACAGCTCCCCCCATACACACGCACACAAAGACCCCTGTATAGGCTTAACAGATTGAAGGAGTAAGTGCTGTTATAGTGAGTAGCACTTATGAAGGCTGGCACGGCACACGTGGGGGTGGGTGGCCAACACCACGCCCGGCCCCTTTGTCTCCCTGGTGGGTGATGTTTACACATTGCACCAGGTACTCATTTGAGGCCGCGTCGACCTAGGGGAGGCCCAGATAATTGTTTCTGGTGTTGTGCCGTGAGCGGGAATCGAACTCGGGTAGCCAGGTTTAATTGGGCGCTGACCGCTACACTACTGCTCCCCCACTCACACTTTCACACGCAAACACTCCCAGCGTGAGGCCGACTCATTGTACATCTCGCAGAAGATCGCTCCTCTGAACAAAATAGTTCCGCAGTTCAGATTGCAATTACGAGTAAGCAATGTGGTTTTTTAATATCACGGAAGCTGATTCGTAAGTCGGGCGTTCGTAAGTCGGCAGTTCGTAAGTCGGGACTTCGTAAGTCGGGAGTTCGTAAGTCGGGAGCTCGTAAGTCGGGCGTTCGTAAGTCGGGCGTTCGTAAGTCGGCAGTTCGTAAGTCGGCAGTTCGTAAGTCGGGACTTCGTAAGTCGGGAGTTCGTAAGTCGGGAGTTCGTAAGTCGGGACTTCGTAAGTCGGGACTTCGTAAGTCGGGACTTCGTAAGTCGGGACTTCGTAAGTCGGGACTTCGTAAGTCGGGACTTCGTATGTCGGGACTTCGTATGTCGGGACTTCGTATGTCGGGACTTCGTATGTCGGGACTTCGTATGTCGGGACTTCGTATGTCGGGACTTCGTATGTCGGGAGTTCGTAAGTAAAGGACTTTGTAATATCCTTTGTCGATACTAGTGGGAGTGAAAACCAAGTATTCTATTTGATTTGGAAAACCCAGTGTTGTCTACTCACCTGGAATTACACAACTCGTCAAGGCTAAAACTTCCTCCAAATGGCAAATGTGTAATGAATGAATAGCACTGGCAACTCGCTCGATGTCGCGACAATGAAATAGCTTGGAAGGCGAGTGCTGTATTCTAGTATGGAGGCGAGGACACGCCAAGGCAAATGTACCTATGTGCTGGGGTTGGAGGTAGGGGGGTATCTTTGTGCTTTGGTTGCAGTTAAACTCCCCCCACACACCGACGTACAGACACACGCGCGCGAACACACGCATGCGGAATTTTCACGCTGCGGCGCTTTGTGTAGCTAAGCGAGCAAGAGTGCTCCATCTTGTGCTGTGGGCCAGAGTTTGTGCTGCTGAAGCGTCGGTGCAGGTGTCAATCCTGTCGTTCCATTCACGAGTGGCTTAATTAATTACTTTGTTTACAAAGTGGTAGAGGTAAAGCTGCAGCCCTGCAATTGCTTAGCTCTGCCCACTGCTAGCGGAAGTGCCTCTACTTGAGGGAACTCTAGAGGTAGCCCCCTCTAGAAGATATGTTGACCTACTCTTCCACTCTGGCCAAGATGTCTGGGAAGAAGTTGGAGTTACCCACACTTTACCCCACAACACGTGACTTGCCAATCGACTGACTATGGTACACACATTGGTAATGCTGGATGCCCAGAGCTAGGGGACTTTGTTTATTTGAAAATTATTAAAGAGACATTGCATATGTATTTCGGACAATGATGAATTGAAAGCTTTCGTTGTTAAATCAGGAAGATAGGTTGACGATCAACAAAATAGCAGATGTGTTTTTCACAAGTAATATTATTTTATACCACCGTACTAATACATATTTAGGATAATAATGTTTCCATCTAGTTTCAGCAAGACACCAGTAAATGAGAAATACTCCAACAAATCAACCCAAGCCATCTTGACATCTCTCTTAATCAGTGATGGATATAAGCAATGCTGTTTGTCAGTTGTGTGATGGGTTTATCGGACTCTATTCAGTGTGTTTTACAATTACAATGGACTAACACACACACACACAATCACAAGTAGAGTGACACAATGACCTGGTAAAAAAAAGCAGTAAGATAAACAAGCTCTGTTTCCTGAATGGAGCCTCATTTTTTAAATGACATGGCTCGCATATTTTTTTTACTTGCCTTGAAACCCTCTCCATACTAAACCCCCACTCCTGCCAATCCAGGCGCCACTCATCACACATTACAGAATGTGGAAATTTGTTTCCTGGATATTTGTTTAAATTTGCCCTGGTATGCATGTGCCTTCATAAATCAAGTTGTTTATAATTGTATTACAGTACTTAAGTAAAATACAATGTGTTGACCGCTCATTGCTTGTTGTTAAAAGGCCCAGACCATTTCCACATTTCTGAGTACCAGTTGATATTTTTCCATACATTTTTCAACTTATGTCATATTAATTACTTAACAAAACACACACAGCACATATCTATATTTTAAATTAGAGCATGGATTCATGTTCAGTATCACAATACTATCTAATCACCATAAAATAATCAAATCTTAATAAAATAAACAAATCTTAAATAAAATTGCGATGCAGTATAAATTGCATTAGATATCTCTGGACGTAAATTGCACTTGAATAATATCTTGAGTTGCCCGTGTGACACAAGTAGCAGTGTATGCCACATGCATTTTATTGTAATGAGTGTAAATGATAATCTGAATAGTCTGTCATTATTTCCAAAAATATATATTCAGTGGATGACAAATGCATCTTACAACTAAAGCATTGGATTACGTGTTTGGTAGATGGATTTCCTGAAGGCAGGCTTGGTTTGAGTTAGCAGTTAGGACCTTGCTATGTATTAAATCCGTTCTTGTTTAACATATTCTCTGATGGCCCTGATCCATCTAGTTGCCAGGTTTTTTCTCTTACCTTTTCCCCTATGATATTTTAATCTTCATATTGCCTTACAGTCTGTCTCTACCACAGGATTGTATTTGGATGTTGCCCAAAAGAATGCTTCATGCCAAACACGCATTCATGGGATTGGCCAAACATCCACTTGTAGCAAGACACTCCTAAAAAATAAGTCTTGAAAGTCAGTGAGGATTTCCTAAACAAATGGCATAATACTCAAAGAATTAGTCTCAATGCATTCATAAAAAATATAAGAAATATATAAAGACAAAATGTAAAAAATATATACCACGGAATATTCAAAATATATTTTTTTCTGATTAAAACCCCATAAAAGCATGATTGTGCAATTTTGTGCTGTTTTTTGGTAGAGAATGATACTCATATAAATATTTTAAAAATCAATCAAATTCAATTTGTTTTTACAAAGTTGTTTTGTGAATAAGAGGAATGTAGGAGGAAGACATTTGCCCAATACAATGTAAACATTTTACGAAATGAAAATAAAACTAAGCGGAAAAATGTACCTAACTAAAAATATAGCTGATGAGTTTGTAATAAAAAAATTAATCCATTGTTTATATTAATATGAAATATGCCTCTGTGTTATTCCACATGATTCCAAAATAATGTCATGTATTACATGATTACGATTTATTTTCACAGACTAACACAGTTTATTTACACAAAACGAAATCACATCACAAATATCTCCCATCCTTATGTTTACTTTTGTTTTAAGCATGTCTGAAGAGTTACATTCAATGAACGATTCTGAATTACTTTATGAAACAAACATTGGGTGAGGTTTTATTTTTCTTACCGTTATGTTTCAGATCTCTGAGGATATCGAGGTGCCAAGTCCAACCTTCTTCGATGCTGCTGATAACCACAGAGCCACACATAATGATGGGATGCATCTCTCCAATCGAGCTCATCCTCTTGCTGCTCGTGACTGTGCCGACCCTCGCCTGCCCATCTGCATGCCGCTGTAATGGAGACTTCGTCTACTGCAACGACAGAGGCTTGACGTCTATTCCAAGTGGAATGCCAAGGAACGCCACGACACTCTATCTCCAAAACAACCAAATTAACAATGCTGGGATTCCTCCTGAAATGAGAAACCTTCTCAAAGTCGAGACAGTGTATCTCTACAGCAACCGACTGGAGGAGTTTCCGATCAATCTTCCTAGAAATGTGAGAGAACTTCACTTGCAGGAAAATGGCATGTGGACCATTTCCAAGGGTCCCCTCACTCAGTTACGCAAACTGGAAGTTCTGCACTTAGATGACAACTCGATATCAACAGTGGGGATTGAGAAAGGGAGTTTTAGTGCAGTGCCAAATCTTAGGCTGCTTTTTTTTTCCCGTAATAATTTAGGTATGGTACCTGAAAACTTGCCAAAGAATCTGGAGGAACTGCGGTTAGATGATAACAGGATAGAAACGATATCTGCAAAGGCTCTGCTGAACCTAAGCAAGCTGAAGCACCTGTTTCTGGATGGCAACTTGCTGACTAATGAAGGGATCCATGAAAAGACCTTTAACGACCTTGTGAACTTGACGGAAATCTCCTTCACTCGGAATATGCTTAAAATTCCAGTGGCTAACTTGCCAAGAATGAACCTGCAAAAACTCTTTCTCCAGGAAAACAGAATAATGTACATTCCAATCAACATATTTTCATCCCTGAAGAGGCTCAGTTTTCTTGATCTTTCAAACAATCAACTACAAACCTTGCCATATGGCGCTTTGAATGGACTACAAGGACTGAGATTGCTCGGTGTGCGAAACAACCCGTGGTACTGTGATTGTAAAGTCCTCTGGCTAAAAGACTGGCTACGCATCAATACTGTGAATGCACAGGGGCTTATCTGCAAAGGGCCAGGCAGCAATAAAGGAATACATATCACAGATCTGCCTCCCGAGCATTTTTTTTGCCCAGCCACCACCACAGCTGCTGTAGCTCCAAGTCACACTGCAGGGGTGAATACGTTCACAGTTGGAAGTCCGTTGTTGATTCTCAGAACCTCGTTGCCATTTGCTACAACTAAAAGCAATATTTTTAGCTCAGTCACAAGCAGACCGACCACATGGAAAGACACTACAGCTGACATTGTCCTTAAAGTGTCATCAGTGAGTGAGGACACGATTGCTGTCATCTGGGACAACCCATATCCAGTGGAGTCATATAAATTGAGTTTGAAAAAATCCGACAAAAATGTTGGGACTGTCACAATGATTAACATCGTCAGTGGTGATAGGACACTGCACTTGTTTAAGGACTTACATCCAATGACTTTGTACAAAATCTGCTTGGAACCTCTGGTCAATAAAAACATTTTTGATCTTGACAAAACTCCGACCTGTTTGGAAACAAAAACAGCAGATTCTGCACTTCCCAATCTTACCGATAGCATGAACCAAGAGCAAGAGATGGATGACGGTCATGGCTCGGCTCTGAAACTTGCTGGCCTCATAGGAGGTAGTTCAGTAATTCTTCTCATTGTGCTGATTTTGGGAATCTGCTGCTGGTACTCCCACAAATCTGGAAAGGGCCCGTGGTCCCGGGACACCTACAAGAAAGGTCGGAAGAGGGAGAGTGAGTACATGGAGTCGGGAACGAAGAAGGACAATTCTATTTTGGAGATGAGCGAAAACTCATTTCAGATTGTTCACTTAAATGAAACTATGGGGGATGATTTATCGATAAAAAATGGTTTACCCAACAGAACTGGAACTGGCTATAAAGGCACTTTGGCCCAAATAAATAACACTGTTTTAATAGACAGTACTTTATTGGACAGAGATTATTTTCAGAGACATACATAACTAACAAGCAACAATAGAAGAGACTTTTACGTGTCGAACACTTTTTGCACAACATATTTATTGCACTTTTATTGCCGATTGAAACATGACACAGATAGTGTTTTGACGTATCAGGATGTTCAACGTGTACAGGTATTTGTGTTCAGCGTCACAACTGTGATTATGGCGTTTTGCAATTAAATGGTGTTTTGTTTCCGATTACCACCACAACATGATATACTTTTCTGCCTACATTTTTTTTTTAGAATTCATAATTGTTGCTCCTTGTATATGGGAAATATCTTACATGATGATATAACATGCTCTCCTTTTATATGTGCCTCTTTTACTAAGTTCACATGACGATACAATGGACAAACTGTAAATGAAAAAAGCTGTACAAATTTACTGCATATTAACTGAAAAGTACTGGGAACTTGAACAGTTTCAAATAGGAATTATTTATAACCGTTTTAAAATGTGTACATAATAGTGTAATGCATGCCTCTTTGGACAACAGCAGTTGAAAAAATAAATGTCCGGTAGTAGTGAAATAATTAAAAGCATTGGAAATGCTTACATGTAATTGTTACATGTTCCTTTTGTAATAAAAAATGAGTACATAGTAGACGCATGGGTTGCCACTCATTGTATTGATGTGGGCAGTGGTGGTGTGAGTCCATTGAGGGCCCCTAAGCAGACATTATTTTGGGGGAAGGCCCTCTTTCAATTTGTAAATCCTAGTGAGATCACATAAGAGATATGAACAGATAAGGATGTAATAAGATAGGGGGAAATATACAAAAGAAGAGAGATGCGGACAAGATAGAGATGACAGAGATTAATTGGGGTGTTATGTTAATTATAATTTTATGTTAATTCGAAATTTATTTTCAGCTGCCATATAATACACCTCAATTTTTTCATGAATCCGGGGCCCTTTGAGCTTCTTGGGGCCGTTAAGATTGTGCTTGGTTTGCTTATGCCTCGCACAACTTTTGGATGTGGGCCCTGGCAATGGTATTAAAAGATAGGTGGGGGGTACTGGATGCAAGGAACCCGGTTTGGGTGAACGACTGGCTGCGGGAGGTCCCGAGAGGGAGGTTGGAGTCTCTGTTGGTGGAGTAATGCATGGCGCTGTGCTTTGATGCTTGCCACGTTAGCAAATGGTGCACACATTGCCACAGACGTCCCATTGTCATAACAAGTCCACTCCCACACAACCTCCGAGTTCAACTCCTTCAAAGTGTTCTTTTTTAAAGCGTGCATGTGAAAAACACGGCAGAGGGTCATACATAACCGTAAAAAATATGTTATTTTAACTACAAATAAAATGTGAACAGCTGTGTTGGCAATAATGCAGAATCGCAAGATGAAAATACAACTGGTGCTGATCTTAACCTATATGGTATGGTCACAAAGTGCTTTTCAAATCCCAAAGTATTTTTAAGGGACCGCAAAGTAAAATGTTGCCACTATCTTTTGCCATTAGTTTAAAAGCTGTGAAGAAGGACCATTACATGAAACACTGCAATACATTTTCAAGTGATTCAGTATTTTTGTCCTGTTATGTAACAAGACAGGGGGAGTGGTGGCGCCATGGTTAGCATACTGCGCTATAAACCTGGCTGTTCGTGTTCGAATCGCGGCCAGGGGCTAACATAATTAGCACGTGATATCTGAACTAATCCGGCGCCCCTTTCCTCCCACTCTTTCACCTATACGCATGGTACGTATGTACGTTGATCTTCTTTTTCACCGTACGTAGCCAACCTGAAGAACGTTCAAACAATCCCCATGACTGACAATGCATGTGGAGGCCTTCATCCAGCAGTAGAATAACAAAGGGTCGTACATCTGTATTCCTATATATATTTTTTTTACAATAAGGTACACAGATCTGTAACTTTCTCATAGAAGACAACGATCAAAATTGGTGGCACGAGTATCCTAGATAAATGTGTAGCTAATACAAAACACATATTTACGAGAAAACAACAGTTCTGCGCATTGCTTGAAGACTGTACATTGCACAGGTGGGTTACTTCACATGTGCGGCGAAATGTCTTGTGGGTAAAGCAGTCTCTGTGAGACACTCTTTTTCCAGAGATTGCCACTGACCTCCTGTCATCTCCGTTGATGAGATTGTATTATAGTGCACAGCAATATTGAAAAGAGACGGATTTCTGCCAGTGGGCTGTCTGCAGCTGGTGGCTTAGCATAATGGATGAAATGGAATGTGTGCAGGCGGAACGGATTGGCCTTTCATTCATTACAATAGGGATTACATTTTGATAAAATCTTTACATTATATATTAGATTGTACAGCCTGAACTGTTGCCACTTGAAGTGTGAAATGTCTAGATTTGTCATTTGCAGACACACTGTTTTATTCAAACTGGACTCTCTGCATTTATTTTTTTTCTTTTGAGAAAGTTTAATGTTCAAAATGGATCTGCGTGTGGCTAAATTTTGCAGGACTTAAGTTATATTTGCAAATGCGTGTGAGTGATAATAAGCAGTTTAGCAATTATAGAAAGGTGTGTTTTTTATTTAGTCATTTCTTACTTGCTATCTTCAACGTGCTATACCGTAGTGATATTTAGTGTTTAAACATTATTTGGATGTGCAATTCCCAAGACACCATCACTCATATTTAACATGAACGTACGTGATTTTGGAAATTATATTTAAGCGTTTATTAATATCAAGTGGAAGTGTTTTCAAAGAAGACTTTTTTTTCAAAGAAGACTGCAAAATAGTGGTAGGGTTTTAAAAAAAATAAAATGTTGTAACACTGCTACTGTTAAAGGGATACTGTCAATGGCGTAATGTTAGCACCTTAAACTTACAATCTAAAGGTGCCAAATTGATCCGATTTCTTGGCTTGGAAATTGAAACAATGGGGGAACCTTCTGAAATACCCCCCCCCCCCCAATATATGTCTGCCCAGCAGTATGAATGGGTATACATTTATTAGGTTGCGTGTGATGGAGACAACTGTGGGTACTTCTCGCCTCTTTCAGAACGTCTGGCAGGCATGGAATAAAAGTCCTCTAGAAGGGCTCACTAGAGCTCCCTCGAATGGAGGCCGTTCTGCCAGCAGTGGGATGACGAAGCAATTGCAGGGCTGCACCTTTATTACTTTTGATTTGAGAAGTGAATTTATACGTCTCGGGCTGGAACAGCCATCTTGCCTTGTGATTGCTTTGGGTGGTGTGTGATGATGTCATCACAAGACACATTTTTTCAAATTTTGACTCCACTCACTGAAGGTAGTGTACATAGTGGTTAATGTCGTTCGAAGTCAAATATTTTAGAAATTATGTTCAATCACTGTGAGATTGTATTCACGTGTCTAAACTTTGGAAACATAGGAATTACATATTTTTTACAATGATTGACAAATTTTGCTATTAGTTGCAATCAGACGTGTTAAGAATTTCTGTCTGTATTATTTTGGGTGGTGTAAATTTAAACAGCTTGTCTTGAAAAAGTATAAATTCTATGTACATACAAACTATATAGAATATACAGGATATTCATTTCATTGGCATGTATGTATGTTGAACTTCTTTCACACCATATGTAGCCTTACCGTGCGAATGTATCTGTTATATTATTTACTATTTAGGAAAGTCTCAGTGCGTCACATGACTGCATTGCCAGGCATAGTGTGGTTGGCATGGGCTCTGTTGCAAGGAATTAAATGGGACCCACTCGTCATCATAACCACTGCATGACTATTTTTCAAGAAAGTCCTGTATTTAGATGTTCGGCCAATTTCATTTTTACATGGGCTTAACATTTGAGGAAAAGCTGAAATGCACAGAAAGCTGTATAAGAGGGGATAATCCACAAAGGTCCACACAGATGAGTCATGAACGCAATTGCTGGACTGCAATATACAGTGATACCTCGGTTCACGAACTTAATTCGTGAACTGACTCTGGTCGCGAACCGAACTGGTCGTGAACCGAGGCACATTTTCCCATAGGGTTAATCCGTTCTGACCTTTTTGTTTTGTTTTTTGAAGCACAAAAATATGAAACAAATTACAATACACAGTACTGCACAGTATAGTAATGTATAAAGAGAGAACACTAACATTGCTTGAGATGACTTCAGTAAGCACTCAAATGGGTGAACTATACAATACAGTAAGTACAGTATTGTACAGTACAGTAGTACAGCACAGTACTGTATGTGCTAAAAAGCACACCAAAAAGTCACTGAAAGTGTCTTCACAGTACTCACAGTACTTATTTCTGCGTCTCTTCTTCTCTCCACGATCTTCCTACAGGAAGTCACGACCATGTGACAGCCTGGAATTAGCATTAAAATGGCCGCGGCTCCTGTTCGTGAACCGAAGCGGAGTTCGTGAACCGGAGCATATTTTTATGAAATGTTCTGTTCGTGAACCGAGTTGTTCATGAACAGAAGCGTTCGTGAACCGAGGAATCACTGTATTGGCCACTTTGCATCCCAGGGTGGTTGTGGAGTTTCGCAAGTCTGCGTGACCCACCAACCCTTGCCTTCATAGCGCTGGATTACAGGCTTATGCCACCACACTCGCCTCACGTGTAAGCTCTTATTATTTTGCTGACCTTACTCTTGGATACGAATGGGAAAAGTAACCGTGGCTTTGGCCCTGGACTAGTTGAGAGCCCACTCGATTTAAATTCCGTCGATTTTTTTTGGGATTGTTATGATTCTGTTATTTTAATTGCTATGGCCAAAAGCCAATGTTAGGTGATATTGTACAGTTGCAGCATGACGTAGAGAACATAGTACTGTAAGTGGCGTCACTCAAACACATTTCTCAGCTAGATTTGTTTCTTCCTCGTGTGGTCAGAGTAGACTTCCATAATAACATCATGATGTAACTACAAAAAAATCAACGCATTGATCAATCGCATTGCCCACCTACGTGACTACGGCTCTCTCCGATGTGTTTTCGGATTGCACCGGGTGATGTTCTGACGATGACGAACATTTTCACTGCACGTGCTCGGAGCTGCATTTGGAACTAAAACGTTGGACATCATGCTGAACAGCAAGCGGGAGAACCCGAAAACGCATCGGAGAGCCGTGTGGCCACAACCTCGAAGCCCTCCGCAGTGCTATGTAACTACATACTACATTCCTCCTGTGAACCATTTGACTCATGGGTTGCTTCACATTTGCAGAATCGTATTATTAAGCTTCAATTTTTCATCCTTGACAATAGTGCTTGACCTCCGTGAACCATTTAAGAAATTCACGGTAATGTGTTTGCATTAAAACTCAGGCAAATTGGATCCACGCATTGAGTTTTATGTGGAGGTTTAGCAATTGCAGTGTACTTATAGATTCAGCATATGTCTCGTGATTTCATTCTCATGTTGTTCTACATTGTACAGTAAGTCTTTGCAAATGACAATTTCAGCCATGGAAACGAATGACTGTGCTTTCTCCCTTTGAACAAATGGTGTTTGCTGTGGTAAGGAAATTACAGTTTAAGGATGATTATAATTACATTAACTGGCATGAAGCGTAATTATCAAGAATCTGCATTCCCAACTCCGTTATGTGCACACCACACTTTTTTTCAATTTAAGGTCTGGATTTACATTTAGCATTCGCTGC